GAGGGGGAGGAGGAGAGAGAAGGGAGAGAGAGATAAAGGGGGAGGGAGGAGAGACAGAGAGGGTGAGAGGTGGGGAGAGAGAATGAAAGGGGAGAGAGAGAGAGGAGGAGAGAGAGAGGGAGATGGGGGAGAGGGGGAGGGAGCACAAAGAGGGGAGAGAAGAAAGAGGTGTGGAAAGAGAGAGGGAGGGGAGAGAGGGGGAAGGGGCAAGAGAGAGAGTAGAGGGAGAGCAAGAGTGGGAAGGAGAGAAGAGAGGCAGGAGAGTTGAGAGAGAGAGAGATAAATGAGAGAGAGATGAAAGGGGGGAGAGAGAAGGTGAAGGAAGCTAGAGAGAGGGGGAAGGGCGAATGAAGGGAGTTAGGAAGGGAGAGAGGGTAGAGGAGGAAGGTGAGGGGGTAGAGGGGTAGAGAGGGGGGAAGAAGGGAGAGAAAGGAGGAGAGAAAAAGCAGGGGGGAGGGGCTGGAAAAAGGGGAGATGGAGGAAAGGGGGTGAGAGGAGAAGGGGAAGAGAGTGAGAAGGTTGAGAGTAGGGGAGAGGGGGCAAAGAGTAGGGGGAGAGAAAGAAGGAAGAGGAAAAGGGAGAGAGAGGAGAGAGAAAGAGAGGAGGGGAGAGAAAGGGGAGTGAGAGAGGGAGTGAGAGAAAGAGGGAAGACAGAGAGAAGGGCAAAAGAGAGAGGGAGGGGAGGGCGGTGGAGTTGGAGGAGAAAGAGAGTTTGGAATGGGGAGAGAGAGGATAAGACAGAGACAGGGAAGTTGTGAAAAGAGAGAAGGAGATAGAAGGGGGAGGGGAAGAGGAGAGGCAGGAGAGTGAGAGGGTTAAGGAGGAGAAATGAGAGAGGTGAGAGAGGCAGAGGGGAGAGAGAGAGAGGCGGGAGGGAGAGGGGAGGGCTGAGAAGGAAAGAGAGAGAGAAGGGAGAAGAGAGGGCAAAGAGAAAGAAGGAAGGAAGGGAAGAGAGTAGAAAAAAGGGGGTGTGAGAAATAGAGGGGGAGAGAGAGAGCAAGAGAGAAAGGAGGGGGAGGAGTGGAAAGGGAGAATAGAGAGAGAGGAGAGGGGTGGATATGGAGAGAGAGAGAGCCTGGTGAGGGAGGGGGGCCGGAGAGAGGAGAGGTAGGAAAGAGTGAGAGAGAGGAGGGAGGTATGAAGAGGGTGGAGAGAGGCAGAGAAGGGAGAAAGAAAAGGGGAGAAGAGGTAGCTGGAGGAAGGAGAGGGGGGAAACAGGCAGAAGGGAGGGGGGGAGAAGGAAGAGAAGGAGAAGGGGGAGAGGTGGGAGAGGAAGAAGGAAGAGATGTAGGGCAGGTTGAGAGGGGGTGAGAGAGTGGGGAGAGGGAGAGAGGGTGGGGAGAGAGAGGGAGAAGGAAAGAGGAGAAGGGGGGAAGGCAGAGAGGGAAGTGGGGAATGACAGAGAGGTTGTGTGCAAGTGGGGCCATATACAAGAGAGAGGTGGGGAGGAGAGAGACAAGGGAGAACATGGGAGGGGGAGAGGAGGGCGGGGACAGAGAGAGGCGAAAGAGAGGGAAGAGAGGAAGAAGGGAGAAGAGGGGAAGGGATATGGGTCGAGAGAGGAGAGGGGAAGAGGGAGAGAGAGAGGCAGAAGGGAGAGTGAGAGACAGGGTAAAATAGATATATAGAGGGATGTGTAAATGAGAGAGCTAGGTGTTTTGAAATTATTTCTATCACAATATAAATGAAAAAAAGATGCTTTTAACTTATTCCCTTAATCATTTCACTAAAATGATAACCAAGTCAA